GCCTTACCATTTGGGCATGGCAGCCCTGGTAGCCAGGGCTGAGACCAGCAGGATCATTTCACGCTTGGCTTCTCTGGCCTGGAAAGGCCACTCTTTGATGCAAGGGCCACCCTGAGCCGACACCCAGAGGGCTGGGCTAGGTTTGGATGAAGTCCCAAGGCTGTGTGGGCATCAGTCCATGGGGGTCAACCCAGCTAGTACCTGTCAAGGTAAGGCCCATCTGGCTTCAGGGAATGGGAGGAAGCGCCACCTAGTGGTGATGAGGAGGGCCTGGCCTGGGTGGGCGGAGGGCTCTGGCATTAGGGAGACCACCTACATTGATTGATCTGTGTTTCCACCCCTCAGGCCCTCAAGTAAATATCCCACAATTGAAAATAGTGTCTCCAAGCCAGACAAGAGGGGTCCCGGATAGAGCCATCAGCCCATTGTGGAGGCCATCCAGTTCACAATGTGCCTAACAGACAGCTAGACTGGCCCTGGCAGTCCCCGGTGACCAGCCGAAGGGCACAACTGAGCAGTGACCAATGTCACAAGGGTGCTGCCTTGTAGGGAAGCAGGAATTCAGAGCATAACTGCCTTCCACCTCTGTGAGGAAGCTTCAAGGTCTTATACACTCATAAATTCAAGCCCTGTCCATTTTGACAAATTACTTTTTTTTTCAGGCTGTTAATAGGAAAAAATTTCAAAAAGATTAATTTGTATGCAGCCAGCTGTTTTTTAGCCTTTATAGAGAACTTCTAAGATAGCGCCTTCTACACGATTGTGAGATAGTCTTCCCATTTTCCAGATGAGAAGAGTGAGGCTGAGAAGTTAAATGCTCATTCAGATATGCCAGAGGTGTGCTGGGTGCGGTGGCTCACACCTGTAATCTCAGGACTTTGAAAGGCAGGGGTCTTTCACCTGAGGTCCTCACCTGAGGTCAGGAGTTCGAGACCAGCCTGGCCAACATTGAGAAACCCTGTCTCTATGAAAAATAAAAAATTAGCCGGGTGTGGTGGTGCATGCCTGTAATCCCAGCTTCTTGGGAGGCTGAAGCCGGAGAATCACTTGAACCCGGGAGGCAGTTTGCAGTGAGCTGAGATCACGCCATTGCACTCTAGCCTGGGCAACAGAGTGAGAGTTTCTCAAGGAAAAAAAAGATATGCCAGAGAAACCTGGGGTGGACTCAGGACTTTATGACTACTGGGGATTTTGCTATTTTGTTTTTGTTTTTGTTTTTTGGTCTTTTTGAACACCCTTAAAAATCATTCCAGGGAAAAGTCCAGTAACATGTGTAACTTTTAAACTTTTTTTTAACAAGATCTTGCTCTGTCACCCAGGCTGGAGTGCAGCGGCACAAACACAGCTCACTGCAGACTCCATCTCCCAGGCTCCAACAATCCTCCCGCCTCAGCCTCCTGAGTACCTGGGACTATAGGCAGGCACCACCCCACTCAGCTAATGTTTTTTATTTTTAGTAGAGACAAGGCCTTGCTATGTTTTCCAGGCTGATCTCCACTCTTGAGGTCAAGCAATCCTCCCACCTCAGCCTCTCAAAATGCTATCATTACAGGCAGACACCATCCTGCCTAATTTGTCTTAATCGTAGTAAAAACAGGGTCTCACTATGTGGCCTGAGCTGGCTTCAAGCCCTTGAGTTCAAGCAATCCTCTTAACTCAGCCTCCCAAAATGTTGGTATTATGGGTGTGAGCCACCGCCCCCAGAAGAACTTATTACATCTTAATACCAGAAAGGATAAAGCAAGTAGGCAAGGACCTTGATGATATTTCAATACACTCCCTTTAACAAAACCAAGAAATCTTCTAAGCAAGGATGGTTCCCTCTCCAGGCCCTGGAATTCTTCTAGAACCTGGGTAGATCTGAAGAGCCTCACACTGTCTCAGCAGGTGCTAGTTACATATGTAGGTCAGAGCTTCAGAAACAGACCTAACTCAGACTCGCAAGGAAAGAGGGCTTTGCAGGGGGACAGAGCCCAGCAGATCAGCTGAACCTTGGGGAATCTTAGGCCGGCTCCCGATGGCCTCTGTCCTTATCTGCTCACCCAGGACTACATCACAGAATCCATTACAGAAGAACATCAGTGAAGAGATGGGAGAGGGAGGTGTCATCAGGAAAAATAGCTTCTCTTCCAGAGTGTTCTATTCCTCTCTTCCAGAGGACAAGTTTACACAGCCAGGGGCCACCGGAGCCAGAACATTAGGGTAAGACAGACTGTGGCAGTCCCGAAAAAGGGCAAAATGAATGCAGGTTGGATAAGATCCCATTGGTGGCCCAACCCAGGCCTTATAACCTAAATAAATGGCTTCCTCCTCCCAAATTTGTAGCTTCATGCTGCTGAACACAATTTCTTCTGGACCACGACTTGACTTGCCACTTCCCCAGGCAGCTGTGGACTCTCTTTGCCTAAATGGCCTCCTTCAAGGCAGGGCTCATAGAGGATTCAACCAGAACCCTCTGCAATGGGAACAATGACTGCGTCAATCCACCAGCTGCCATGGCAGGTGCCACCCCTGCTGCGTCCCTGAGATCACAGGAACAGAAAGGGCTTCCTGATGCCCCAGACCTGCAAAAGCACTGGGGAATAGTGTGGTCAGTCCCTCTGCTACCTGGGGCCACATGCATCCCTTATAAAGTGGCCATGCCCCAAAATGCATGTAACTTATTAAACCAAAATACCAATGTCTCCAGGGAAACTGGCCACATAGAATAATTTAGCCTTACACCACTACACGAAAGAGGAGTCATTTTGTCGTATGAACAGGATCCCCCAATGCATCCATTTCACGTACCTAGGGTTTTGTGAATTATGTGTGCTTAGAATGAAGGACATCTTGGTTCTCTTAACTGTAAAATAAAAGAAGGGCTGAGATTTTCTTGTTAAAAAAAAAAAAAAAAAAAAAAGGCCTACTGGACATGATGGCTCATGCTTGTAATCCCAGCAGTTTGGGAGGCCATGGTGGGTGGATTGCTTGAGTTCAGGAGTTTGAGACCAGCCTGGGCAACTGGTGAGACCCTGTCTCTACTAAAAATAAGAAAAAAGAAATAGCTAGGTGTGGTGGTGTGCGTCTGTAGTCACAGTTACTTGTAATTCTGAGGTGGGAGGATCACTCGAGCCTGCAGTGAGGGATACTGGGGGCAGGATGCAGAGATTCAGTGAGCCCAAATCATGCCACTGCACTCCAACCTGGATGACAGAGTGAGATCCTGTCTCGAAATTTTTTTTAAAAGCCATTCATCTAAAATTCTTCCAAAGCCTACTTATGAACCACTGGAAGGGGGAACTTGAGGGCTGGGTAGGTTGTGCTAAGAGTGAGTTACTGCTTACAACTCAGTTCGGGGGGGGGGGTGGTGAGAGGGGACAGAGCTCATCCTGCATGCTGGGTGTGGGTGGAGGGTGTGCATGAATGTCTGTCTGTCTGTGGGAGTATGTTTGTGGGTACGTGACAGTGTGTGTTTGTGACAATGGTGTATGTGTATGTATGTGTGTCTGGTGTATGTGTGCGTCTGTCTGCCTATCTTGGGGGTGAAGGGCTTGAACATATATTCAATTCCTAAAGATAGACTTATAGACTGAAAATTACTGAGACCTCTGGTCTCTGACATTCCTCTTTTGGGCTGATGGTGTCAACTGCATTTCCGTTTGCTGCAGTATCCACAAAGTAGGACCTTGTGATGCTCTCACGTTCCTCTCCAGCCTGCTTTAGGACATTCCATGTTCATAAGGAAAGTTTGGAGGCCGGGCGCAGTGGCTCCATCCATAATCCCAGCACTTCGGAAGGTGAGGTGGGTGGATCGCTTGAGCTCAGGAGTTTGAGACCAGCCTGGGCAACACAGTGAAACCCTGTCTCTACTAAAAACACAAAAAATAGCCCTGTATGGTGGCACACACCTGTAATCCCAGCTACTCAGGAGGCTGAGGCAGTAGAATTGCTTAAACCTGGGAGGTGGAGGTTGCAGTGAGCCGAGATCGCACCACTGCACTACAGCCCAGGCAACACAGCAAGGCTCCATCTACAAAAAAAAAAAAGAAAGGTAAAGTTTGGGTTTTTATAAACTAATTTTCGAGCTTCTTGGCAACTAGAAGAGAGAATGGAATCTTCTCCATCTAGAAAAATCTCCACACAGCCTGAAAAGAAGAATGTGTTCACTATTTGTCCATATTTGCATTTTGTATGCTATGTCTTGAAGAACAAATGCATTTTGTTTTTTAAAACACACTGTAATGAAGATTTTGGTCCAGAAGAACAGCCCTGGAATGTTTCTCACCTCCTTACACACATTAAGCTTTTTAGGGAATCGAGGGTGTGGGCTGGGGGGTGGAGCTGAAGGCAGAGTTGGGGCGGGGCTGGGAAAGACCGCCCAGAACAAGCCCTTTCCTACAATTCCATGTAAAAGTGGAAGACCCTGCAGGATGCCTATGCCAGTCACCTGGACAAGAATCATTCGCATGTGTCTTTGCAGGCCTCTTTAAAATGGCTTTGTGATTCACAACTGAAGTACTAATTATCTCTAATTCAAATGCGCACAATCTCGGGTTCAAACTTGCTCTCACCATTTTATTTTATTTTATTTTATTTTATTTTATTTTATTTTATTTTATTTTATTTTATTTTTGAGACAGGGTCTTGCTCTGTTACCCAGGCTAGAGTGCAGTGGCGCAATCTCAGCTCATTGCAACTTCCACCTCCCAGGCTCAAGTGATCCTCCCACCTCAGCCTCCCTAGTAGCTGGGACTACAGGTGCACACCACCACACCCAGCTAATTTTTGTATTTTTAGTAGAGACGTGGTTTCACCACGTTGGCCAGGCTGGTCTTGAACTCCTGACCTCAGGTGATCCACCCACCTTGGCCTCCCAAACTGCTGGGATTATAGATGTGAGCCACCATGCCCGGCCCATCCTCACCATTTTAAAGGAAGCCCATATCGTTTGTTTTATTTCTGGAAATTTAAATGGGAAATGGAGAATGTAAAATGAAAAAAAAATGAAAAGAGGTTGGTTCCATTTAAACATTTTTATAATTTGTTTCATTTTGAAGTCACAAAGGGTTTATGTCAATCATTTTAATGGCTAAGAATACACAGTTAGCACTAATAACATCGTGTAGTCTAATCATTCACCATGTTTAAATGTAACGTTACAAAACTACATTTTAAAATCTGACCCCTAACCAGATGTGAAACAACGTGGACAGAGTGACACATGCTAGAATTAACCTTCAAAAACCTCTGCTTGACAAAGACAGCTGGCTGCTGGGGTAAAACTCACAGCAGTCACAAGTGGGGAGAGAAAGAGGCCACTCTATTACAGACTTTGTTTCTTTTGCTAGACATTTTTTTCACCTAATCCCAGGATAGTTTCTGTTAATGTGTCTTACTCTCTTTCAAACGAATCACCCCTAGAGCAGGTGTACACATTAAAAAGGAGCTTTACAGCATCAAACACATACCACAACCAACTCTACAAGGAGGGTTTTCTGTAAGATGTGTGCAAATGTCAGAGGAACACAGTCCGGGCAAGAAGGCTCAGCTCCTGTGAGGTCCTGATGAGTATCTGAATGACCTCACATTTTCTCTTCCATGCCTGGGGTTAAGGCCAGCACCCAGCCCACACACAAAGCTGTGATGAGAGGCTGGTTAGGGATGGTGGAGGCAAAGCCACAGATCAGCAAGAAACTCTTCTGAGTCAATAGTTTCTACTTCCTCCCTAACTGAACCGTTTACCAGAACTGCCCAGGACTTGCCACTATGAATTTAATCTCCCTGGGTTTTCCCTGCCTGTTGTCTAGATGAGACAATGAAGGGCAGAGAAGCAACAGTGACCATGTTAGCCCTGCACGATACTGTCAGCACTGAGGGGCTGCAGCCCTGGGTCTCAGAGAGAGCAGCCAGAGAAGGAACCAAGGTATGCTTGGTTCACGTTCCAGGGCAGGGAGGTTCCCCAAGTTGCAGCAGATATTAAGAATCCTGCTGAAGGCACAATCTCCGAGAGAGGGGAGGGAGCAAGGTCAGGAAGCTGGAACCAGAGGCACTGATAAGCACACTCCTCCTTGCCTTTCCTGGAGCAGAAGCGAGGCAGAGTGGGGGTGATCCAGGGCTTCCGGTTCCTGCTGGTTTTTGCATGCACATCTGCCGGCTCCACAATTCCCCACTCCTTGAAATCTAACCTCAAGCATCTTCTCTGGCACTGCAGTGACCAATCTTATTGCGTGGTTTAAGTCCTCTGTGTATGATCATCAAGGCATTACCAAAAGATTCCCTCACCAGTCCTTTAAAATAAAATAATGCAATGCCATATATGAATGAAATTGTGTGTGTGTGTGTGTGTGTGTGTGTGTGTGTGTGTGTGTGTGAGAGAGAGAGAGAGAGAGAGAGAGAGAGAGAGAGAGAACAAATGGACACTGAAGATTTGGAAGATGTTCTCCAGTAGGTTATCAGTCATTAAGAGGAATGGCATTTTGGGTGATTTTTTTTTAAATGTCCTTCTTTATACCCTCTGATAGTGCTTTAAAATATTAAGACAGGTGTGTCTCCATTTGTAATTACAAAACAGTATTTTCATTTTTAAAAAAATTAATGTTTTAGAGGGAAAAAAGCCATCAATGATTATAAAAACTCTCAGAGACAGACCAGTTTCTTTTAAAAATTGAAGAAACTGAACCCAAACCTAATTTGAAATGAAGATCAAATTAAAATGAAAATTGCATGCCTGAAATATCATAGATTCCGATGTCAGTGAATGTCACAGATATAAATTAACATAATCTGGACAGCTGGTGTGTCTAACAACAGATACCAGTATATTCAGGTACACAAGTGAGCTGACAAATTACAAGGCCATGTGTCACTCAGGGTTGAGTGGGTCCCACTACGGGTGTTATTTTGTGAAGGACTTATTTGGGGGAAATGCACAGAACATGCTCTTGTTGTATCCTCGCTCATTCAACTGAAAAATCAGACAGAAAACAGCCCAGCTTCATTTCATTCTTTTTGCAACATCTGAATATGCGTGTTCAATCTCTTGATCAGCTGGACACGTATTTGTGAACTCATCTCTAGAATAAGCATTATTCAAGTATCTCCAGATGCCAGTCATGTCAGAAGGAAATTCAAAATCTCTGTACTTCTTGGCCACAATCTGAAAATGAAGAGAACATGATCAGTAAAGGGAAAACTTACTAAGGCAGGTTCCCAAATCAAAGGGTCCATTCTTTTGAGCCGTGTAACACATTCTTTCTCAGCTCCCCATGTCATCCTAAAGGCATCCGGGCCACCCAGCATGACATTCTGACTTGCATAGGGCCACCTTGGGTGTGGGGAGTGCTGTAAAAGTCCTGGACTCACGACAGTGGCTGCACATAGTTCTGCCCACCAATTTGTCACAGACAGGCCTTGGGATCCGCTGGCACGAGTATGCTGTGGACTCGGGAGGATTTCTCCTGTGTTGACTGTGATTTTCTTTCCAGATGTTGTGCTACTGTGTTATTTGGTGCTATGTGAATAACGATGCATGGTGGATCTGCCATTTAAACGGTGCCCTCTCTTCTTCCTACTTGTTGGACCTCACTTCCTCCAGTCCCAAACCTCTGTGCGTGTTATTCCTCCTGAATGCCATCATGCTGCCACTAAGAGCATCGTCTAATTATGGGGCCTGCCTGCAGGGAGGATAACAAAGCAGATGCAAATCCTTACCCCCATGGGGACAGTGGGTGTAAGGAAAGAGCAATCGAGAGACAGCACCACCACGAGAGACAGCACCACCACGAGAGACAGTACCATCATGAGAAACACAGCGACATGAGACGCTTCCTCTAGCAAGAGGGGTACAGTCGGGGAGTTAGTCACAACGATGTGCAGAGCACTGGGGACTGTATCAGTTTGCTAGGGTTGCCATTACAAAGTACTGCATGCTGGGTGGCTTAGACAGTCTACTGTCTTCTGTTCTAGGGGCCAGAAGTCCAAGATCAGGGTGTCAGCGGGGCCATGCATCCTCTGAAAGCATTAGGAAGGATCTCTCTCAGCTCCTGGCAGTGCCTTGGCTGTGCAAGCGTAACTCCACGCGGCCTTCTCCCCGTGTCTGTTCCCCAATTTCCCTTGTTTGCAGGGATAACAAACAAATGTTTCTTCTCCTTATTCTCCTTCCAGTGGTTGTAATGACATCTAGTTTGGTATATTCTGAGTCTATTCTGTCCCCATAATTCTCTTTGCTATCACTGAATTGTGACGGCAAAGAAGGCCACCCTGGATTAGGTCCATCTCACTCCAGGATGACTTCATTTTAACTAATCACATCTGCAAAGACCCTATTTTAAAATAAGGTCACATTCTGAGGTACTGGGGATTAGGATCTCAACATAGGAATTGGGAGGAGGGCGCAATTCAACCTGAAGTAGGGACCCAGCTTTGCTGCCTCCAGTCCCACTGGTCCCCGGGATGTCTGCAGGATGCAGGCATGGGATTTACCACAAACGAGAAGATATTTGGGGCTCACCGCACAGACTTCGGAGGCCAGCAGCCATTGATGCAATGTGACAGCAAACAAGGACCATGTAATTAACAAAGAGCTTCCTAAATTATTTGACGCCTCTTTCTTGAATGCAAACTTCTTGATGCTCATATTAAGAAATCTGCTTTTCTTTTGTTTGTAGGTACCTAGGTTTTCCTTGGCCGTCTTTTTATGTTAACTTTCCTGAGTAAATTTTCAAGGCTGTGCCTATGAATGTCGTACTGAACTTGGTTTTCTGTCTTTCTTCTGTGAATGTGTGTGTGTTCCCCTTTCTGGTCATTTAGAAGGTTTATGGCCATGTTAACTCTCCAGTGGTTTTCTATATAGCCTTAAGTAATAGGAATTCTCTATTTCTTGATTGAATAATAGGATTCTCTATTTTTTGAGACGTTGTCCCACTCTGTAACCCAGGCTGGAGTGCAGTGGAGGATCTCAGCTCACTGCAACCTCCACCTCCCAAGTTCAAGCGATTCTCCTGCCTCAGCCTCCCGAGTAGCCAGGATTACAGGCATGCACCATCACATCCAGCTAATATTTGTTTTTTTAGCAGAGATGGGGTTTTACCATATTTGGGCAGGCTGGTCTCGAACTCCTGGCCCCAAGTGATCCACCCACCTCAGCCTCCCAAATTGCTGGGATTACAGGCATGAGCCATGGTGACTGGTCTCAATTTATCAATTTTAGATGCTGCTTGTTAACTCCTGATGATGACAAATGAGGAAATGCACGTACCTATACTTCTTCCCATTTCTCCCTTATCCTCCTTCCAATGGTTGTAACAACATCTAGTTTTATATTCTGACTCTATTCTGTCCCCATAAGTCCTGCTGCTATTTAGTCTTAGGACTAGTTTCAGCTTTAAACAGGTTCTGTTTAGCACCTGCTCTTACATCACTCACCTTCTCTGTTTCTGGATTCTTACTTTATGATTTTAGTATTTAATCATAGAGACATTTTATGTTTTTTAGAAAAGGGACCAGAGGTCTAGGTAAAAACAATAGTTGCTTGGATACGAAATTCTTACCTCACACATCCTTTCCCTTAACTCTCTGTAGATGTTAAACCAAAGTTTTCTGATTTTTAATGGGGTCATGAAGACATCTGGGGTCAGTCTGAATTTATCCCCTATTTCAGGGCTTTATTTCATTCTTTTTATTATTATAGTAACTGTTGTTGTTTGTACAGTATTATTATTGCCTAGGTGCCAAAAAGACTTGTTTTTTATTCCCAAAGCTCAGTAATGTATCAGGTATGCCTCAGTGCATTGATCTTTCCGGGGCAATGCTTAACATGGTATGTCATTTAAACTAAAGATTCAGGTCATCCTTTAGTTCAAAGTAATTTCCCCCTCAAACCTTCCCAGTTTCCCCCCCTTTTCCTTTTCTGTTCTCTTGTTTCTGGTTATGTATATCCGAAATCTCTCTATTCACCTTTGTCTCTCTCATTCTTCTCCATTCCATCGCAGACGATTTTCTCAGGCCTGTCTTCTAAATCACTGAGAGCAAGGCCACAAACATGAACCACAACCAGCTCTGCAAGGACGGTTCTCTGTACGATGTGCGTGAATGTCGGAGGAAATCAGTTTCAGTACAGTCTTTGGCTGTGTCTTCCTACTTCGAACAGGACCTCTGTCTCTGCAGTTCCTTTATTTGTCTTTACTTTTCTTCCTGAGCTCTGCCAGCCTGATTTCCACCCCTTCGTGATAACATATTTTTCAACATCTTGTGTCTTGTCTTTGAGCTTTTTCTCAAAAAGCCCATATTCTCTTTCATTTCTTTGAGGGTGTTGGAAAGTTTCTGTCTGGAATGTGCTGGAATGTGCTGGAGGAGCGATCCTTGATCGTGTATGTATTTCCTGTCTGCCTTTTTTCTTGTCTTCGTCATTCCTCCTCCCCTCTCCCTCCTTTTCAATCACCTCTATCTACACTGAGGTCTCACCAGCATTTTCCCTGGTATTCGCCATCTTTGAATGAGGCAGATCTACTGGACCTAACATTTGCTGAAACGCAGTGGGGAGGGCAAAGGGAGTGAGATGGGGCAGGTGGCCAACCAACTGGAATATTTGCTCCCAAGCACCTTCTCACCAACCACTCTGTGCCCCAGAGAGACACATTCGAGTTGGGGTTAGGGTTGAGGTTAGGGTTAGGGTTAGGGCATCCTCTGCTCTGAGACTCACAGATTAAGCAGAAGGCCACCATGGCTAAAAATGAAGCTTGGGCAATTTGTAGTCTCTCTCTTGATTGGTTGGGCCTAGTTTCTGTCGATCACAATGCAAAATGCCACTTCCCTTCCTTCCTCCCACTTTACCTCCCCTTGAGACTGTTCCTCTGGACCAGGGGCTGGGTCACAGCCTATACAGATGGCACCTTTATATGGCTCCTCCTTCAATTCTGCCTCCCTAGGGAATCTCAGTTCAACAAGGGTCTTTATAGGGAAGTTCCCTGTTTCCCTCCTGGCCCACCTCATGCTCTCGTCCTCAAAGAAGTTTGAGGTGGGCATTTCCGGACTGTGTTATTTACCTTTTGAGAAATCCAAACTTTGCTAAAGATACAAAGAAATATGTAATGGGTCTGTGGCTCCTCCCACCAAAAGAAGCCTCCTACTCTTTAAGTTGGCGATCTGTCTTCCCTTTGTAGTTTTACAAAAGATGAAGCAAATACCCTATCTTTATGTTGTTTTTGCTGGGTTTCAGGCAGGGGAATAAATTGTAAATCCCTTCACAAGCACTTTTACCATAATTCCCTTCGATCGATTCTCATTTCCTTTCAGAAGTACCCCATCCTGAGGTCATTAAGCTGTTGGGTATCCTGAGTGCTAAATGGCTTTGTAGATTTTGCTGCTGCGTCTTACAGTGGAGCCATGAACTGCTTTCCCTCACTCTAAAGCTTCCCCTTCCTACTGAAATTTAAAATCATCTTTCCTTATTGGAGCCAAACAAGGGGACATGAATGGTCTACAGCTGGGATATTTCTCCCCTATTCCTCAACTTCCATGTATTTCTGCAATGCTATGCTGGTCACAGTAGGGACTAAAAAGCATTTACGAAAAGGGACTCAATGGAAATACAACTGCATAAATACCCTGTTAGAAGGCAGTTCCCAAATGTAGCAGGTTCTGAGGGGTGTAGGTGATTTCATTCAATTCTGGATGTCTGTGGACTGGGAAAGCCACTGAAGAGACACCTGCCCAAGGAATCAGCAACCTCCTGAAGGCCTGCATTTCAGGATGGCATCCTCAAGCACAAGAAGGAAGGGATAAGAAGGGAGCAACATGGCCAGAACTGAGAGGGGAAGAGGACAGAAATAAGAAATGCAGGAATACAAGGCAAAAGAAGGAAGCAGAGTCAGCAGGGGTGGCTGGGAATCTACAGCAGCCTCAGTGCCATAGACTGTGTGAAGCTAACATGTAATTTATTTATTTATTTGTTTATTTGTTTTGACAGAGTCTTGCACTATTGCTCAGGCTGGAGTGAGAGCTCAGTGCAACCTCTACCTCCTGGGTTCAAGTGATTCTTTTGCCTCAGCCTCCCAAATACATGGGACTACAGGCACACACCACCACACGTGGCTAATTTTTTAAATTTTTTGTAGATATGGGGTTTCACATGTTGGTCAGGCTGGTCTCAAACTCCTGGTCTCAAGTGATCTGACCATCTTGGCCTCCCAAAGTGCTAGGATTACAGGCATGAGCCACTGCACCTGGCCACTAGTGTGAAATTTCTAAATGCTAACTAAATGTGTTATTAGAACACACAGTCCATGAGTTATTTTTCCCTGTGTTTCTCTCCCCTACCCTTATACCAACAACCTGGCTCTGGCCCTGACAGGATTTTAATAATAAAAATGCCCCACAGCAAGGCACGGGCTTCTTCATGAGGTATCTGGAGCTGCTAAGGGCCAAGGACATAGCAATCTCGATCATAAGAATCACATTCGACTTCTATAAGTGATAGAGTGGCTGGGAGCCCTGTGGTGCTGAGAGCCAGCAACAACTACGGAGCCCGAGTGTGGGGACATCTGCTTGGAGCTCCAGGGGACACTCTGGGCAGCTCTGATTTACTAGGGCAGGCAGTGGACTGGGAGCTCGCATTTCTAAAAAGCTCCCCAAAGGGCCAGGCACAGTGGCTCACGCCTATAATCCCGGCACTTTGGTAGGCTGAGGTGAGTGGATCAGGAGGTCAAGAGATCGAGACCATCCTGGCCAACATGGAGAAACCCCATCTCTACCAAAAATGCAAAAATTAGCTGGGTAGGTGGTACACACCTGTAGTCCCAGCTACTCAGGAGGCTGAGGCAGGAGAATCAATTGAATTCAGGAGGTGGAGGTTGCAGTGAGCCGAGATCACACCACTGCACTCCAGCCTGGCAACAGAGCAAGACTCTGTCTCAAAAAAAACAACAAAAAACTCCCCAAACAGTTGGTATGCCTACTGACGTTGGAGAACCACGGGTCTGGCAGGTCTTTAAGCCCTAATAATTCACGACTCTTGGCTCTTAAATCATGTTCAGCTGCTATATGGGAAGGCAGGGAACAAAATATGGCAGAGACTGAGCCGAAAGTTGCCAGCTGCTCCCTGGATGTTGAGGGTCAATCTTTAAAATAAATAAATAGAGATGGGGTCACACTCTGTCACCCAGGCTGGAGTGAAGTGGTACCTTCTTAGCTCACTGCAGCCTCGAACTCCTGGGCTCAAGTGATCCTCCAGCCTCAGCCTCCCATGTAGCCAGGACTACAGGCACACACCACCATGTCCAGCTAATTTTTACATGTGTGTGTATATAGACGGGGTCTCACTATGTTGTCCAGGCTGGTCTTGAACTCCTGGCCTCAAGCAATCCTCCCGCCTGATCCTCCCAAATCATTGGGATTACAGGCATGAGCCACTGCACCTGGCCAAGGGTCACTGTTAAGAGCTAACAGGACAATTCTCTGTCATCCCTGGCAAGGGCCATGTGGAGCCCTACAATCACCAACAGTTGACTGAGTTCACATTTTAATTGCCCTAGATTCCAGGCCTCATCTCCAATCCTCAATTGCTAATGCCAGGTATAATCTATGAAATTCCTCAGGCTGCTTTCACATAACCTCTCTTTAGGCTGTGCGAGTCAGGCTGAGAGAGAAGCAGAGGGTGGGGCCACATTCCCAGACACCTCCCAAGAACACCCAAAGCCCATCTTCTATGTGTGTAAAAGCTGGGGCTTGGCTGCCCCGAACAGAATTGAACTAGCATTTTCAATCCAAGTCTCCACATTTCAGACTGTTTAAACGTCTGGCCCAAACACAGGTAAAAACACAATAAAACAGAGCCCTGTTCATGTATTCGGCACACCTGTCAGAGGAGGGAAGACAAACCTTAATAATATGGAGCTTGGGTAAGAGGTTGCAGTCAGCCAGCGTCAGCTCATCCCCATCTAGAAACTTCCTTACAGAAACAGCGGCATCCTCCGTGCTGTAGGCATCTATTTCATCAGGCAGAGGGCTATTTAGGTAACTATCGAGCTTCTTCAGGGCCTTCAGCAGGTTCTTTTCATAAACTAAAACAGAAAGGCAAGAAATCACAAAGAGAAGCCTTGCAAGTGCATGTCATTTGTCGCCAGCTACTATGATGGAAGGATTTGCTTCCCTGCCTCGCTGAGACATGGCCAGTCAGCAAGGGGTGCTGGGAAGGCAGAATGTGGATGGAGACTCACTGAATAAAGGACTCACTCCTCCCTGAAAATCATGCTGCTGTCCACCCAACATTGCTGCTCCTAGAAGTCATTTATTTATTCAAAACTACTTATGGAAAGCCTGTGAGGAGGCATGCACTAGCAGAATCATTGAATACAATTCCCATGGTGTGGCTGGAACACCGAGTGATGACTATTTTTTTTTAAATGTTGTTTTGTGGGTTCCCAGCCTCAGAAGCAGCATTCCATCTCTTGAAGCTCACATGCAGATTCAAAGTTGGAGGCAGTTCTTCCACATCTCCAGACTTAGTTTTCTACCCGCTGGGAAATGGGTTGGAACACCCCAGCAGCATATGAGTCGCTGTGCTAAGGCTCGAGCGAAGGTTCGTGCTGAAACAGGAAACAGGAGGATAGGAGGCACTCACCCTCGTTTGCATCCTTCTTCGTGTTTTTTATAAATGCGGAGAATTTGGCAAACACATCGTTTCCTGCAGAATTAGATTCGGGATGCTGGGTCCCCAGCTTGGGATACCTTGAAAAGTTCAAAATTGGAGGATGACAGGCAAAAGATGTTTTAGTTAAGATAATACTATACAATGGAGAAAAACAGCTTTCTCTGGGTGGATATAAACATGAAAAGCTTTCCTTCAATGTTTTCCTGACCGAGGGTTGGGAAGTAACACGATCCAGGAGAACGGCTTTGGACTGAGAGGGTTTGGGTTGTTGTTGGTGTTGCTTCCTGGCAGTGGCCAGTCCTGGGACACAGGACCCCACCTGGCCTTGCTGGTCTCAGGTCCCCCTAGTAAAATGAAAAGGATGGACTGGAAATGTCTCCCCTGTGGTCCAACAATCCATAATACTTCGACCTAACACATACCCAGAGCTTCCAGCAGGGCGTCTAGGATATCGCCAGCCACCTACCCTGGACCCATCTCCTCCTACTTCCAGCCATCAAACCCTGATTGCCAAGCTGCAGGTGCAGTGCAATGAAGTCCAGTCCCCAAAACTCTAATCTAGGTACACCAGGGATATGATTAAGGAAGTGAGTGCCATGGGCTGCAGGAAACCACACACACACACACACACACACACACACACATTGCCCAGAGTTAGTGGGGAAAGTGACAATCAAGTTATGAACACGGGTTTTCTGGCGCCTACCTTGGGGGAGCTAATTTCTCCTCTAAGAACTCCTCGATCTTATTCACATCCGTCTTGACTTCACCATCAAAAGTCATAAAAGGTGGGTTTGTTCCGGGAGCCAGGTTCTGCAGGTCTGCGGGTTTCCTAGGTGGGAGGAACAGCAGTCTTTATGGGCCACCACGAGAATCTGGACTCATTTCCAGGGCTGAGCCATGTCCTCCCCAATTTAAGAGAAGCAACTCTTGAATAATGCAAAGTAGATTGTGGGTTCACAAAAATATCTTGCTGGTGATGAAAGAAAGGCATTCATTGACAAATTACAGGTGGGCGATATGTCCCTTTGTGAAAACGGAGCTCAAAGGGGCACATCAACAAACAGAGGTGAATAAGTTAATTCTCCCTAGTGGCATCAGCCAGGAAGGGTGCTCAGACAGGCTTGGGAGAGTCACAGCTGACCAGCAACTGGGAGGGCAGGTTCTTCATGGCGCCCCCAACTCCTACTTCTTCCTGATTACCGCCCAGCGGATCCTGTCCTGACTCAGCTTGGCCCACACACGGGCTTCAGTTCAGTCTTTGACTGAGGATGGTTGTGCCCATGACAGCACCGAGGGCCTCAGGTTTCAGTGCCCGTGTGTGTGTGTGTCTCTGTGTGTGTGTGTGTCTGTGTATGTGTCTCTGTGTGTGTGTCTGTGTGTGTGTCTGTGTGTGTGTCTGTGTGTGTGTGTGTGTCTCTGTGTGTGCGCACGCATATGTGCACGTGTGTGTGTAGGGAACTAGTTACAGTTATTTCAGTAACGCAGATAGCTTGTCTTACCTTTTCAGGTCCACTGTCGTCACATTAAATATAACACCTTTCAGCCAAAGAATCATAAAGAGACGCTGAGAAAAGGGGCAGTTTCCGATACTCTCACCATCATAACCAGCCTACAAGTGGAGAAAGGGATTTCCATCTGAACCAGTGTCACAATTATAAATTCCAGCACCACAATATGCACCTGCAAAATCATTATAGGTTTATATGAATGGTCATGACACTGAAAATTCTTCTGAGGCCATTTTACCAGCCTCGACGTGGAGCTGGCATTGAATGTAGGGGATGGGGGAGAGGACACCCAATACACAAACACACACACACACACACACACACACACACACATCCACACTGCACTGAGCATTTTCTTTCTGCCTTCCCCACCACCTCACCACTTCCTGCCACACTGGACCTCTGAGCAGCAGTTCACAGATGGAAGAAGAAGCAGTGGGAACTCCCTTCATCACCAAAGGCAAAAAAGAAAGACATGCCCTTTCCCTCCCTCTATCTCTCCATCCTCTCCAAGGATCAAATCTTCTTAGTAGCTTTGGTGTAATAGCTAAAACCTGGAAACCACCCGGATACTACCAAGAGTAGAATAAATGTATCCGTGTAGAGTATCCATGCCTTGAGATACTACACCACAGTGGAAAAGAATTAGCTATCATACAAGCAACGGTATGGCTGCATCTCACACACATAATGTTGAGAGAAAGATACCAGACTGAAAGGCATCCTGCATGATTCAGTGTAGGCAAAGTTCAAGCACAAGAAGGCAAATTTCTCTATGATGATGGAAGTCAGAACAGCAGCTGTCCCTGGAAGATGACTACTGCCTCGAAAGGACAGAAGAAAGACTTCTGGGTGGTCCCAATGTTGTTCTATGTCTTAATCTCATGATGGCTACATGGTTCCTTTTAAATAATAAAAATCTACTACTAAAAATAGACGCTCGGTGCTGCAAAGAAAAATTAGCACTGAGACACAGGATTTTTCAGTAACGCAATTTTTACTTTCCAGACCGCAGGAAGGGTTTTCTTACTAGCCATTGTGCCACGAGAGTACAACGAACAAAGGAAAACACACAAATTTATCCCTTACGCATTTGGGCTTGTCCTTACTGCTGTGCCTGATTTCCGTTGGCTGGAGCCAGACCTCACAATCTAAACTAAAACCCAACTGGCTAACAACTTAGAACATTTCTAAACAGGTAAAAGCAAGGGAGAGCTGGGGCAGGCCTGTGAGCACGTCCAGCACAGATATCTTGGTTGAAGTACAAAGACATAGAATGTACTACATGCCTGTGAGCATGGCATGTCTAACAGCTACGTAGGATAGGGCTTCACAAAGAGCTACTAGCACACTTGTCCTTTAACAAGAAAGGAAACTTTAAAAAGGCACTTTTCTACTTCCCACCAGTACTTTACTGAATATAAGTGAAACTGTTTGTATATTTGTCCCAGCCCAAATCTCATGTTTAGTTGTAAACATTGTATATTTGTCCCAGCCCAAATCTCATGTTTAGTCGTAAACATTGTATATTTGTCCCAGCCCAAATCTCATGTTTAGTTGTAAACATTGTATATTTGTCCCAGCCCAAATCTCATGTTTAGTCGTAAACATTGTATATTTGTCCCAGCCCAAATCTCATGTTTAGTTGTAAACATTGTATATTTGTCCCAGCCCAAATCTCATGTTTAATCCACCCCCATGATCCAATTACCCCCCGATATGGGAGGTGGGGCCTGATGGGAGGTGACTGAATCACGGGGGTGGATTTCTCATGAATGGTTTAGCACCACCCCTTGGTGTTTTCCTCTCTATGGTGAGTTCTTGCAAGACTTAGCAGTTTACACGCTGTGGCACTTCCCTGTCTCTCTGGCTCCTGTGCTGGCGCCTGCTCTGGCTCTGGGACTTTGGCTCTGCCTAATCCCCCTTTCCTTCCCCCACAATGGTGAGTTTTGCGCAGCTGCCCCAGGAGCTGAGCAGATGTCAGCACCATGCTTCCTATAAAGCCTGCAGAATTTGAGCCAACTAAACCTCTTTTCTTTATAAATTACCCAGTCTCAGGTATTTCTTTATAACAATGCAAGAACAGCCTAACACAATAAGTTTTACCTAAATACAAAATAAAAGAAAGTTAAAATCCTAATTAAAAAAAAAAATACAGAGTTCAATTCAGTGGGTCACGCATGGGGTCCAGAAATCTGAATTTTTAACACATTCCTCCATAGTGATATAATGCTGGTGGTCAGAAACCATACTGAGAAGTCCAGTTTTCCTCCAAGCTTGGGCAAGAGATAAGGCTGGTGCCACCAGCATTACTGTCAACGTGTCAGACAAAGTGATGTGAACCCCCAACTGGACGATCCATTGGTAGGAAGACTTGCAGGGCTTCGCAGGTGATAAATACAGCTCTGTAAACACGGAGTTATTGGTGACCTTATTGCATATGAAGGGGCACCACGAGACCCAGATCACTGAATTCAGAGTCCCTAAGCTCTGGGCCTGTGCATCACCTCCCTCCACTCTCCCCTCCCCAAGCTGGCATTAATTTCCTCTCTGCCCATTGGAGGGGAGGGTCTGAGAATCTCCCCAGGTGTCTTTGAAGGTGCTGAGAGCCTGAAGCGTGGAAGGTGGACAGTTATGACACATACATCCAAGTGGTCACAACAACTCCCTGCAGATGGGTCCTGAAAAGCACCCACCCCCTCCCCGCCTTGAGGCTGTTCCCCATCTTGGGGTCCCACCACCCTATGGACATTTTGAAGGCCACTCCCATCTCCTCCTCACTCCCTGTTCCATAGCAAGGGGAAGCGTAGAGCTGAGTTAGAGAAAACTCTCAGTGGCTGATGACCTGGGAACCTCTTAAACGGTGGGACTTTCTTAACTAACTGCAGGCTGGAGCACAGTCAAGCCAAGAGAAGGGGGAGCAGGGAGAAGAAAGTGCAAGGACACATATTTCGGCCAGTCCTGACCTGCTCTGCAGGTTGTAAACCTCTTATTTTTATAGTAGTTACACGAAGCACAGGAAAGTCTAAAGTAAGTTCTGCAAAGTGGGGCAACTGTGTTCGCTTTTCCTCATGTCTCTCTAACCTTTCGAATCCTCTTCTAACGCCTTCATATGTGTAGAATCTCTCCTGAGTGCGTGCGTCTGGTCCCGGTGAGGGGTGTCTTGATCACGTGCCCCTCGACAAAGCGCTGCCTCTGGAATGGGCCCTTCTTTCGGTGACCTCTTTCCACCGTGGCATCTGCAGAATAACTACATCACGCAGGGCTCTCCGCCTGCTCCGTCTCTGGTCTCAAACTCAGGTCAGCGATTTCCCTTGAAATTGTTGAGGATGGGACAACGTCTGTTCAGCCACAGCTTAAGACACTGAAGAAACTTGCAATTACACACACCCCACCCCCAACTCCCTGTGGCCTTAAAACTGAATTGTCCTGACCCAGCATGGCTGGTGAACCAAAGGCCGTTAGGCATTTTAGAATTAGCCCGCAGTGGTGACTGCCAATAGAACAGAATTTACATATCCAGTGTTGCCTCATCGCAAATTGCTCTAAAAAATTCCTTTCTGTCTCAGTCTGTTGTAAATGAAGGGGTTGCGGGAACATGGTGGGAGTGCCTAGGACGCCTTCCTGCCTAATTTTATTACCTTAATGTACTTCAGTGCCTGGATGTGCCAGCAAAAATAAAGGCAAAGATACGCCATCTCCATTGCCCATTATTGAGCAATAATGGGAGAGGATCGCCTTGGTCACGTTCATTAGCCAGACAAGATGATGGGATAAAGACATAGATTCTGAGGGAATAACTGGCGCTGTCGCCATAATTGGGACATTTTATCATATGCAGTTTTCTTTTTTCCTCCAATGCTGATAATTATCTCAGGCTAATGCACTCTGGACTAAAATTTCTCAGCAATTCTCAGCTTACAGAGCACACTTTTGTATGTATACATTTCTGATCAAATAGAATTAAGCAGTTTGAGAACGCAGAGTGTCTTTTGTCTCCAGCGAAGACTTAGGTGCTTGGATAACCCAGAATTGCCTGTTTGCCTTTCAAATTCGACTTTGTTGAGTACCTCCAAAGGTAGTCCTCGAAAGAAAGACACGGTGCCTCCGATACCACATTCTGAGAAACTCTGTTGGCCACTGATGCCAGCCTCGCCATCTGAGAACCTGAGGACTCTGCTGGGTCCTGGCCTTGCGAACCCCCCTGTCTCTAGGGCTCCCCACCAAGGTCCGAATTGTGTAAGTCCAAATGGCAGCACGAGGTCACCAGTTCCCCCTCACCACACCCCTTCTCTAAGTTACAGACCCTCCTGCCAGCTCCTTCCACACTTACTCTACCCAAATTTAGATGAAAGATGTTTTCCTTAATTTTCTCTTTTTGTTCAGGCAAATGGCCTCTCCAGTGGCCTGGAGCTACATGTGCGGGGCACCACCCACACTGCCACCTTCCACTAGACAGCTCCCTGCCCCACTTGCTGCCTTCGAAGGACCAAACCAACACCTGGTGACCTGGCGCAGACCTGATGGAGCAATGACCCCCCCAAGACATTCTTGGCTGTTCCTGAGCACCCCACACTCTCCTTCTCACCAGAGCAGGCCACCCCCTACCAGCTTCTCGACTCTACCGTACTTCTAGACAATTCTGTGTGAGCTTACCTGGTAAACATGTTCCATGAAGTAAGCACTTTTCTCTACTCTGCCCAAATATAATGAAAAACAATTTGGAGGAGTGGCGAGATTAACAAAGAGGCCACAAAGCAGCAATATTTTAATTGGTTCTTTTTCTGATAACTGGCTTTGAACTAAGGAGGCCGGACATGTATCCTGTGTGCAGGGAAGGATGCCAGTCCCTGCAGAAAACCAGGAGAAAGATTTGGCATCTGGTGGAGGGATCTGGGGGCAAGCAGCTGATTTGAACCCCTCACAGGATGTGGAGAGCGGGTGAGTGATAACGGGTCGCTCTATTCCAGCGTGCCAGGGGGATTTTGGACTGAATAAAAATGGTAGGTGACTGGAGGAGGCCAGAGTCAGACAGAGTGAGTGTGGGAGGCCAGAGAGTTGTCCTCAGAGTGGAACAAAGGGGCCAGAAGACCCAGCCAGT